TGCAAACTTTGAGAAAATTCAAAACATCTGACATGATTGTTCCAATCGAAGAGCGTCTAATTCCGATTCCAGGAGGCAGTCGAATTATTATTTCGTCAATGGTGACTCGGCGATCTGCTTCCACCACATTCCGAACAGCAGCAACGGCTGCATTGTCCGAAGCAGTAACGGGGCTGCCGCTTCGCTCGTCATCATGCACGTTTTGCCGTCCTTCTAAGAACCATGAACGCCATCGGCGAACCATTTGGATACTCATACATTCTTCACCATACACTGACACTGAATTGCGATGAATATTGACCGCAGTTTAATTTTTCGCCGTGAAAAAAACGAATTACAGAACGGAGTTCGCAAGTGGACACGTTCACCAGTGGTAGCTCCATGGAAACTGAAGCGCTACGGACTTGCGCGTACGAGTAGCGTGATTTTGAAGGTCACCAGCTTCCAACGCATCCTAGTGACCATTTCTTCTATACTAACTAATTTTTACAACGTTTCGTTCGCAGAAAAAAAGAGGGAAACTTATTTATTGGATGGCCCTCGTACCATTCATTTATCTGACATCAATAATTCCTATCGCTGTGAGTTTGAAGCACTAGGGCAACCCCTTATCTGTGGAAGCATACCTCCGGTGTGTCCTAGATCATTTTTAGAAGGGAGTGAAGAACTCGACGTGTCTGATTTGATGAGAGACCGTATAGAAGTCCTTATAGGTGCGGACATCGCCGGGAGATTGCTAACTGACGAACAGAGAAGAATCTCATCTGGACTTGTGACCATCCGTACCAAACTAGGATGGACTGTGATGGGAAAGATTCCTCCAACGGAGGTGAGAGATGACACCAGCTCCCTTTGCGTGACCACACTTCTATCTTTGGATTTAGAAAACTTGTGGAAATTAGATGCAATTGGAGTCTCTGACGCGGAGGTTGAGAAGAAGACTCAGTCGTTACGAGCTGAAATGGAGGATCATTTCGTCCACACCACGACGAGAGATATTGAGGGGCGCTATGAGGTAGCTCTACCCTGGGTGCAAGACAAGGAAAGGATTCCTACGAATAGAGACCTAGCCGAAAACCAACTAAGTTCTGTAAGAAGAAACTTGAAAAAGTTGGAGACATGAATGAGTATGGACAAATCTTTGAAGAATGGATGAATCAGGGGATAATCGAGTATGCCAGAGAGGATAAACTAGATGGTGTACACTACCTGCCACATCGACCAGTGTATAAAAGAAACAGTCAATTTTCTAGAATAAGGCTAGTATTTAATGCATCGGCCCGGAAGAGAGGTAAACAATTCCTTAATGACTTTCTGGATAAGGGACTCAATTTGATAGAAATTATACCAAGACTTTTAAATAAATTCCGGAAATATGAAGTAGGTGTCTCTTCCGATATTGAGACAGTATTTTTACAAATTAGAATAAAGGAAGAAGACCGAGATGCTGCAGTTTTCGAAATAGTAGGAGTTGATCTAACTGGGCATCTCATCTTAAAGAATAAGAAGAAAGCTTGGATTGTCATCTTCACATGTGCAGTGTATAGAGGAGTTCATCTGGAACTTGTGACATCTTTGTCTATGGAAGCCTTCCTCCAAGCTTTCCGCCGATTTATTGCTCGAAGAGGTCGACCATTGATTGTGTATTCGGATAACGGGATTAATTTCCCAGGCATGGCCAATACTTTAAAGAAGATTGATTTTTCGAGAGAGAGAGAGAGATTAAAATGTGATCCCACATTGAAAAACACCTAGAAATTCATACCGCCTGGTGCTCCTTGTTGGGGTGGATGGTGGGAGCGTTTGATTGGAATGATGAAACAATTACTCTTTAGGATTCTCGGTCAAACCTCCTTGGGATATGAAGAACTGTCCACGGTAATGTGTGACGTCGAAAGCTTGATGAACACACGCCCTCTGACCTACCTAACTGAAGAAAGTGAGGATCTCGTTCCATTGACACCTTCGTTGTTCTTACATGAGGTCAGAGAGGTTGGCGTTCCAGACCTGGACTTGATTGATAACCAGACCCTCTCCCGCAAATATCAATATATCAAACGTGTACGAGAAGATCTTAGAGAACGATTTCGTATCGAATATTTGGGATTCCTGAGACAAGAAACGAGACGCCTGAAGACTACCATACCATTCAAGGTGGGAGACATGGTACTCATTGGACAATAGAGTTTAAAGAGACTACACTGGCCGTTAGCCAGAATAATCCAACTCTATCCAGGAAAAGATGGACTTGTGAGGGTTGCGAAAGTGAAAACTTCATCAGGTGATAAAATACGACTTATTCAAAAACTCTACAATTTAGAGACAAGCCTGAGATAAGATGTCGAGACCCTCTAACGGAGCGATCTCCCACACAAGAAGTTCGATGGTCAACTGAAGAGGACCCTTTGATTTAACAACAAGAGCAACATCACATTGAAACCCCGAATGTTGTGTCAAGATACGGACGACACATCAAGAGACCCAACCGATTGGATCTACTGAACTTTTCCTTTCCATGTTTAAGTCGTCGAGGCGCCAACTCAAAGGTGGGAGAAATGTTGGAAAAGAAGGAGTTCGAAGCAGCCAATGAAAGGCCGACGGAGGGGGCTAAGGGGATGCAGCGGCTGAAATGAGAAAACAATAACAGAAGAACCTGTAAACAACTTTCGAACGGGAAGATTTGCCCTGATTCCCGATTATTTTAGTGTAAATACATTTAAATATATAATTAATTAAATAATCCTTTACTATTTTTCTTAATTCATAATAAATATAATTTTCCCTCCTGTTTTCGTCGTATATTTTAAAAGTGCTATAAGCAGCGACACCTCAATTTTGAACCTTCAACCCCGCCGACCAAGAATAGAGGTGAGCGACTCCCTCTATAGAACTTAGATCGTCGTCACAACACAGAGTGGCGGTGAAATAATAATAATTATTGTTTTTGTTTCACCTATACTAAGATTGTTTCGTATCTTTGCTATTTATAATAATAACTAGCGGATGTGTACCCGGCTTCGCCCGGGTTTTATCCGAGTGAAAGTTTGCCTAACGAATATTATATATTATGAAGTATAATAAACAATGTTAAAGATTAGTTTTAATTATTAATCAAGATTGTGTGTGAATATGTGAGAAAGATGTAATATCGTTGTTGTTTTCTTGGCCGACTGTTTTACATATGGTGTTATCTTAAAATTGCTTGTTTTGAATATTTTTTTAGATTGAGTTGAATGAATTGCTGAATTTTTTTTTTTTTGTATTTAATCGATAACAGCGAAGTAAGGCATGTTAAAGTTAGGAAAAATATTTGATGTTAAGCAAAACCTGCTCCATCTCGTTTTACATAAATGTTGAAAATTTGGTCGAAATTGATGCATTGTAACGAAAGTTTTTAGCGAACACCACTTATGAAATTTGCACTTTATTAATATAGATATATAATAAAAATGAGTTTTAAAAATTGTTTTAAAAAAATGCATCGGCCGGGAATCGAACCCTGGCCGCCCGCGTGGCAGGCGAGCATTCTATCACTGAACCACCGATGCTTTAAAAAAATCAAATTTATTTATCGTCGCGACCAGTGCTGCGCCCTAGCGGTAAAAGACTGGAACTAACGCTTTTTGGTTTTTATTTTAAAAAAAGCACATTAACTTTTTAGTTTTTTGAATAGCCTATATGTTAAACGAAATCTTCAGCTACCTACATGCGAAATTCCATAATGATTGAGTCAGTAGAATTTGCGTGATGCGATAACAAACATCGATTTCGCATTTCATTTTTATATATATAAGGATATTCAAAATTAAAAGGTTATGAATTCGTCCTTTATACTATGTTAATAGGTCATTTAAATCATAACACCACTCACACAAAACTATGGATAGACAGAGAGTAGGAAAGTTGAATAAAAACTTTTTAAAATGCTTAAAATTGACCAATTTCAATTAAAATATAAAAGTATTTCTATATTGATATTGAAAATATTTATAAGTGTGATAAAAAATATAAAAATATTCCAAAAGATATCGATTAAAAATGTGAATGATGTTATAATAAATGAGTACTAAAGTCTTAAATGTATTTAAAATGTGTGTGTAAAATGTAAATGTGCCAAACCTTAATTGGCAAAGTGCATATTTTTGAAACCATAAATTTTGAAAATTCTTTACTTTTGTGTACATTTTTTTTGTAAAAATATTTTACTGGAAAGTGTAAGGGAATATAGTAAAATATATGTAATTGATTTTTAAAAAAAATTCTTGTTATTTGGTTAATAAAATTGTATTTTAATGAAGGTATAATTTTTTCAACGAAATACTATATATTTTATTTGATAAAAATGAACATAAAATATATTAGATTTATAGATTTGTTCGAATACATCAATAAAATATGAGAAAAGTATGAAGTAGGGTGGTGTTAAGGTTTTAAATACCACATTTGAGTAGTTTATCAAAATTTATATAAATACTAGCGGATGTGTACCTGGCTTCGCCCGGGTTTTATCCGAGTGAAAGTTTGCCTAACGAATATTATATATTATGAAGTATAATAAACAATGCCAAAGATTAGTTTTAATTATTAATCAAGATTGTGTGTGAATATGTGAGAAAGATGTAATATCGTTGTTGTTTTCTTGGCCGACTGTTTTACATATGGTGTTATCTTAAAATGGCTTGTTTTGAATATTTTTTTAGATTGAGTTGAATGAATTGCTGAATTTTTTTTTTTTTTTGTATTTATATATAAATAAAATTAACTCTGTTGAATTTTTTTTTGTATTTTATCGATAACAGCAAAGTTATGTATTTTAAAGTTAGGAAAAATATTTTGATGTTAAGCAAAACCTGCTCCATCTCGTTTTACATAAATGTTGAAAATTTGGTCGAAATTGATGCATTGTAACGAAAGTTTTTAGCGAACACCACTTATGAAATTTGCACTTTATTAATATAGATATATAATAAAAATGAGTTTTAAAAATTGTTTTAAAAAAATGCATCGGCCGGGAATCGAACCCTGGCCGCCCGCGTGGCAGGCGAGCATTCTATCACTGAACCACCGATGCTTTAAAAAAATCAAATTTATTTATCGTCGCGACCAGTGCTGCGCCCTAGCGGTAAAAGACTGGAACTAACGCTTTTTGGTTTTTTATTTAAAAAAAAGCACATTAACTTTTTAGTTTTTTGAATAGCCTATATGTTAAACGAAATCTTCAGCTACCTACATGCGAAATTCCATAATGATTGAGTCAGTAGAATTTGCGTGATGCGATAACAAACATCGATTTCGCATTTCATTTTTATATATATAAGGATATTCAAAATTAAAAGGTTATGAATTCGTCCTTTATACTATGTTTAATAGGTCATTTAAATCATAACACCACTCACACAAAACTATGGATAGACAGAGAGTAGGAAAGTTGAATAAAAACTTTTTAAAATGCTTAAAATTGACCAATTTCAATTAAAATATAAAAGTATTTCTATATTGATATTGAAAATATTTATAAGTGTGATAAAAAATATAAAAATATTCCAAAAGATATCGATTAAAAATGTGAATGATGTTATAATAAATGAGTACTAAAGTCTTAAATGTATTTAAAATGTGTGTGTAAAATGTAAATGTGCCAAACCTTAATTGGCAAAGTGCATATTTTTGAAACCATAAATTTTGAAAATTCTTTACTTTTGTGTACATTTTTTTTTGTAAAAATATTTTACTGGAAAGTGTAAGGGAATATAGTAAAATATATGTAATTGATTTTTAAAAAAAATTCTTGTTATTTGGTTAATAAAATTGTATTTTAATGAAGGTATAATTTTTTCAACGAAATACTATATATTTTATTTGATAAAAATGAACATAAAATATATTAGATTTATAGATTTGTTCGAATACATCAATAAAATATGAGAAAAGTATGAAGTAGGGTGGTGTTAAAGTTTTAAATACCACATTTGAGTAGTTTATCAAAATTTATATAAATACTAGCGGATGTGTACCTGGCTTCGCCCGGGTTTTATCCGAGTGAAAGTTTGCCTAACGAATATTATATATTATGAAGTATAATAAACAATGCCAAAGATTAGTTTTAATTATTAATCAAGATTGTGTGTGAATATGTGAGAAAGATGTATATCGTTGTTGTTTTCTTGGCCGACTGTTTTACATATGGTGTTATCTTAAAATGGCTTGTTTTGAATATTTTTTTAGATTGAGTTGAATGAATTGCTGAATTTTTTTTTTTTGTATTTATATATAAATAAAATTAACTCTGTTGAATTTTTTTTTTGTATTTTATCGATAACAGCAAAGTTATGTATTTTAAAGTTAGGAAAAATATTTTGATGTTAAGCAAAATCTGCTCCATCTCGTTTTACATAAATGTTGAAAATTTGGTCGAAATTGATGCATTGTAACGAAAGTTTTTAGCGAACACCACTTATGAAATTTGCACTTTATTAATATAGATATAATATAAATGAGTTTTAAAAATTGTTTTAAAAAAAATGCATCGGCCGGGAATCGAACCCTGGCCGCCCGCGTGGCAGGCGAGCATTCTACCACTGAACCACCGATGCTTTAAAAAAATCAAATTCATTTATCGTCGCGACCAGTGCTGCGCCCTAGCGGTAAAAGACTGGAACTAACGCTTTTTGGTTTTTTATTTAAAAAAAAAAGCACATCAACTTATTTAGCTTTTTGAATAGCCTATATGTTAAACGAAATCTTCAGCTACCTACATGCGAAATTCCATAATGATTGAGTCAGTAGATTTTGCGTGATGCGATAACAAACATCGATTTCGCATTTCATTTTTATATATATAAAGGATTAAAAAATATTAACAGATATTATTTATATTTTTCAACATTTTTATTTTGGGCAAATTGTACATATATTTTTTAGAAAGGTTTATATACATATTAAAAACATTGTTTATATTTTCAAATACCGCGTTTATATTATTGAAAAACTTCAATAAAGTGTAAAATATTTTCTCGAAAGGGAAAAGGCCTATATTAAAAATTGAAAAGCATTCCATTTATTAAAAAATATATATTATGTTTATATTTTAAAAATGACAACTTTAAAAATATTTCTATAGTGTATGTTTTTGAATTTAAAAAAAAAACTAATGTCAATGAATATTTTTAAAAATCAACTATTTTTCTCCGGAAAATTAATATTATTTTGAATAGACATTCGATAAATATCATCATTTAGTAGAACGGGCAGGTGATTCTATGCGTTAGGGTCAAACTATTCCTTCATAATTTATTTTTTCAAAATTTATTGGATCCCTTACAATATTTAGTTCTTATAAAATGGCGCCCAAATTAACAACAATTGGTAACCAAGCTCACAAGATAAAAAATCTCAAAGTTCTAAAAAGAAATGCGACTCAAAATGATCTTCAAAGCGATCCTACTTCTTCTCCTCGCCCTCAGCGCCCAAGCCACCGACCCAGGACGCCTGGATTTCAGGCAGAAACTCGACTACCTCATCGCCCACTGGGACGACGTCCTCGTAGTGGCCCTGGCCGTTCTATGTGCCATCGCAATGACACTCTGCCTCTGCAGACTTTCGGAAAAAGATCCAGGAATCCCAGAAGTCCCCAGGAAGCCCCCGATAAAGGAATGCCCATCTACCATCATCGTCGTAGAGGGACCCCTCGACCCTGGATGCCCCCCCGCCCCCCGCCCCTAACATAGCCTAAAAAAGACTGTCGTCTCGATTACGACTTGGAAAAACCAATAAACGTGTGCGGGGCCCCTAGTAAACTTTCTTTATTAAGCTTGTATTAGAAGAGAAAGTATTTAAGTACATGTATGTCTAGTTTTTCAATTACAATGTTGGTTTACACACTTTGGTAAATTTGTTTTATAATGGCTGAAAAAAATGGTTTATAAATGTGTGTTGTGTTGGGACTCTTTTTATAAATAAAATAATAACTGGCTTATATACAGGGGTAACGATTAGTTGATTTATTCATTAAAAAATATATTATTTATGTTTAAGGTATATATAGATATTCACATTTAAAATATTTAGTGTGTCATCAA